CCTTCCAACCCAAAGATTCCATGATTCTATGGTCAACTGAAAAATAGGTTGCATGTACAGCTGAAATTAGTAATTGAAAGTATCTACTGCAAACTCTTCATATTGACAGTATAATGACATAGAACACCCATCATTTTTTAAGCATTGAATTTTTAATCCAGACTATCTCTTCATACTGGTGATTTCACTCCACCAGTAGCTCAAGCAAAATCCAAATGTGTTAAGCAACTTGCCTAAACTCTTCCTTTCTTCGGGCAAGACACAAGTTTTAAAGGATATAGAACTGCAACAGTTCAGAAGATGTAAGCCCAAGTAGCTCGTCACTGCTGTTTCAGTGAGTCAGCATAACCCACAGGGTTCCAACAGCTATGAAACAGCTTAGCGAAACAGCCTACTACACTCTTAAAAATATCTGTTGTAAATACAGAGAGAAGGTTCAGGGAACAAATGAGAAAGTGAAATGGAAAGACAAGTCACATGAACAAGCTCAATCCCCTACCTCGGTATCCCTTTAAAAAAATACTGTACAAACAACTCCCATGACATACAATCATTTAACTACAATTATTGTTTCAGGTACACCACTGCAATGAGAAGTATGAGTCAGGTGTCGTTCAAGTAATTTTGACAGGAAGAATTGCAGTGCCTTGCTGTTCAAAAGGGAACAATTTATCCCCGGCTTACTTTGAGTATGCAACACAAAGCAACAGACTGACCTTTTGGTTTACAGTCATTTGTTATTATTTTAATCCTAATTGTTAGCAGTTGTCTGTCTTCAGTCACTATATTTATTTCAGTGAGCAAGATAATTAAGTGCAGCTTAAAGACACCAGGCATAGACCATTCCATGCATGTGAGAGAAAGAGTGGATCATTTATGGTATGCGGCATTATACTTTAGCTGTAAAAACATCTAGCAGCTTTTTTTAAATGCAGTTGTGAAAGCATAATAAAGTCAAGAAAAATTAAAAAGGATAGGACACCCCATCCTATTAGGTCTAAGGGAAGTTTCAAGAAACATGCATCCAGAAACAAAGTTTTGGGCAATAGTCAAAGTGTACACCTCGAGTAGGATAGACATCAGAAGAAAATCCATTATCTGCAAAGATAATCAATACCCAAGACCAAAAGGACACGCACAGTTCTTCCATTCATTCCTGAACTGTAGATCAACTGACAGACGTCACTGCAGGGTATCAAATTCCCTGATTTTACTGTAACACAGCTATCAGCATTTCCGTCAGGTAAAATAGACACTGTTCTTCTATGGCTTATAGAAGCACCAAATAAAAAGGTAAATAACAAACTTCCCAGCACCATTAATTTTCATTAAGCAAGGAAAACAAGGTAATTGTCACTGTTTAAAAAAACTGTTTAAATATGATGTAACATAACTTAATACAACTTAATCTTACCTGCTTGCTTCCCTTCATAAAAAGCATCACAGGAGCTTTGTTTGTCAAGATTTTAAGCCTACAGAGGTCACAAAAAGACAAACATAAAATAGCTCAGTTATTATCCCAAGCTTTGTTTCAACAGGAAAACAGAAAGTGGAAAGACAGCAACTTACAGCTTTACCAAATGTATTTAAAGCATTATTATAAGCAACTCTATTCATTTAAATTGCTTACAGTAACTCTAGTGAATGAATATGAACCATGCAGTTACTTTTAGAGCAACAATTTACTTTTCGAGATTGACCTCCAAGTATCAAGCAGCAGTAAGTTTAAGGAGAAACATTTTAGGGTATTTTAAATATAATACCTATATTTAGTGACATATTGCTTTTTCACATATAATACTTAGCATTTCTCATTCTCCATGAGAGAATGTCTTTTGCAGAGTAAGAGCCATACCTACTGCCCATCAGTCATAAGATCTATGGACTTATGGGACAAGGATTAGCCACGACTGCAGTTCAGGAACAGGTCTGTGTTGCTCCACTGTGCCCTGTCCACTTCTGGTCTATCCACACAACCCTCAGACACTGCCCTCATTTCCCTCTCCTTTTAGGAAAGGCTTTCTGTGATAACTGATAGAGTAAGTCAGCAGTAAACTGTTGGACAGGAGTCTTTGCTAAGGGCAAACTAACCTCTATAAAATGCATACCAGGTGATGATTTTCTGTAAAAGGTCGCTTTGCAAGACTTGCACAATGCAAAAAGAGTCCAGACTAGAGAATCCAGGGTCTTTGCAACATAAAACTAAATGAAGTTTTGTTGGTGATCTACAGCCTTTGCACATGTAAACCTCAAAACAATTCTTCCAACCAAGTTGTCTCTAGATTAAAAAGCAACAGCAAAACTAACAGCTACAGCAAGGGTGAGCTACAGTAATCTGAGCTGGTTCCCCAGCTGCCAGATGTTTCATGAAACCAAGCTGATTTCCAGAGTCCACTTTCAAGTGGATACGACGCAGCTAATTGATGGGAAGAGATCAAACACTGAGTAAAGGAACATAATTTAGCATTACATAGATTACACTACTGATATTCCTTCATTTTATTAAGTCATAACGTGTTTGAATAACTAGCCCATAGGGTTTTTCTTATGAGTGACTGATAGTGAATACATTTGAACAGTCAGTTGCTCAGAAGTTAAGTATGAGGTTAGCTACAAAGTAAAACTAATCTGTATCACGGAAAAAGAACTTCCCAATTGTCACCAGAAAAGAGGAGACAGACCTCAACTAAATGTCACCCAAGAAACAAGCTCCTACTAAAAGACAAAGAACAAGCTAGGCAATAATTAGCTACTTGTGACTTGTCAGCTGCATTTTTAGCCAGTTTGACTTCAGGCCACTTCTACATCAAAATTTGACACAATTGATAAAATTTTCACACACCTGTTTAAAAGCTGCTTCTGCTGCTGCTTAAGGAAGACATTTAGCTATACCAACAATTTTAATCTATTAAAACACATTAGGTAAGCAAAAGACATGTCACATTGCTTAGTCTTTTTGAGGAAAGAAGGTAAAGAACTATGTATAAATTCAATAAAGTTTCAGCTTATACAAGTCTGCAAAAGGAAGAGACTGAAGGAAGCCTTCTAAAATAAGCTTTTAAGAGGTCATATTGCAACAATCTCATCTTTACCCATAATTCAACCTTAAACTGCAAAAGGTAGTGATTGTTTTTTTGTGGCCCTGGTGAAAGAATTTACAAGTTACCCTACTAGAGTAACAAAAGGTAAACCTCAGCCATAGGACAAATTAAAAAGCAATTAATAAATACACAACTGTGAAAGTAAGTATACTTTATCACCGTATCAAAATGGCGTGCATTAAATTATTTCTCCACTGTGCTGGGAAGGCAAAAAGAACCAGAACTAATCACATATAGAGCACTTGCTCTTACGATGCTCAGACAGCAAGAGGGAATCTATGCTAACATATTTGCCTTCAAGGTACAGGCCACCTTCTTGGTAAACCAGCTCCCCTTTGCATGTCTTAATGGCACTATTCACATAAAAACTAGGTAAAAAAAGCCACATCTACTAGCAGCTTCTCAAACAGAATGACTTGACAGATATCTGGAGCTTGACTGCCTGGGGCACGTCAGAATTTCAAACAAGAGCGAATCTTCAAATGGGAAGGTTAAAGGCAGACAAATTGGTTTCTAGATATTATATCTGATTCAGGAGGCAACATACGTCCTAGTGATGCCACATATATTCATGTTGCTAAGGTGAAAGAAAACAAGAACTAAAGGACATGAGTAATCAAAAAAAATGAGGAGACAAGCCTAGATATTTTCTCCAGTGACATCAGTTATGAAGTCTATGACAAATAAAGCTAACCAAAGCTACTAATATTTAAAAGATTAATTTTCGCAGTTATCTTTAAAGAATAAATTCTTAAAAGAGAGACAAGGAGGAATCTATAGATTCCTGCTATAATTAAAAATTAACAAGCTACAAATATAATAAGCAAAGCCTATTGGAACAGTATAGCTTAATGCATATATAACCATATAGCTTAATATAAAGTAATGCTTACTGTATAGAAAATAGAACATATTAAATAACTGCAGGAGTTCTGTAATTAAAGAAATCTTGACACACTTCCGATAAAGTCAAAGAACAGGAATTTATACAGAGGGTTCCCCCTATATAAATGAACATACAGGAGACATCAAAAATAGACACACTTAAAATAACAGCATAATACATCACACCTGTCCTCCAACTTCTGTGCCTTCGGACAGACTGTGTCCAGTTCTCCGGATGACTCAAGTTCCTAGGGAGATTGGAGAGAATAAAATCAGATGTAAAAAGCAAGAAAAACATGCTTCTGACAACAAGATTAAGAATTTCTTGGTTTCTAACCTTGACAATATCAAGTCCACCTATAAGCTCTCCAGCTACATACAACTGCGGGTAAGTTGGCCAATTAGAGTAAGTTTTCAGCCCCTGACGAACTTCTTCATCAGAAAAAATATCAAAACTGCTAAATGAAATACCATGTTTGTTCAATATCTCCACCATTTGTTTGCTGAAACCTGCAAACACAAAAAGAGGAATTACATATAATTTTAAACAAAGCATTCCTACGTCTGTACTAAACCTTACTCATTTTAAAAATGCAATTCTTCTAGATAGTAAGTTCAAAACAGTTCTGCTGTGTTTTTCTTTGCTCTATCAATATCTTCAAATATTATAAAGGGGCAAAAAGCTTCTTTATTACTGGGATTACAAAACAAAAATACAGGGACAGCTTGGTAATTCTGGTGCTTCTCTAAATAGAGCGCTATACAGTAAGTAACCTTCATGTAAGTGTCTCTGTTGTTTCAACATACAATTAAAGAAAAGTTAAATGCACTCCTTTATTCTGCCTTTTCCAGCTCTTCTTCATTTAGCATTCTTAAAGGACAGAACAGCATCTTCAGTAGCCTTCTTTTCATTCCTCTAATTGCACAGCACTTTCTCTACCCTGTCATTTCTTGCCCCTACTACTGAACTTCTACACCAAATATGGATGAAGTTGACACGAAGTGGGAACCAGGATTTACACCTACTACTGTGTCACTAGTTTAAGTTAGAAACTTGGCTTTTATAATGTTTTCTACTACTTTTGCTTTAAGAGCATGTCCTTTGCTACTTCATGGTAAGAGGCAGATTTTTTTTTTTTTTAAACTCATTATATTCACATGAGTACTTAATATTATTTTACTACCCTTGTAACATTTTCATACCATGTTTGTTTTCCTTTATGACAGATCTTCATTATGTCCTAACCTGACAACACTATCTCAGCAGGATATTAAGCACTGAATATTACAATGTAAACAGCCAGGTCATGTAAGTTTATTATGTAGCCAACCTTAGGAAAAAAAAAAGTTTCTCTGTTCTGTAGTTAAGCACCTTTTTCCTAAGAAATTCATCACTTTACTAGTAAAAAGTTACAAGATGTTAGTATTAGAATTTACAGTCTATAATCACCTAAATCTCCTTACACTAGAGGGAAACCCACACAATTTCACTTTCAAACAATTCTCCCTCTACTCTATTTTAAATTCAAAGTGAAACATTACATTGTTTTTTTTTTAATAAGATAAACTGGTTTTTGCAGCATTAGTCTCTACAGAAACTCTTCAAAATCACTTTAAAAAACAAAACACACACATACACACCACCCACACCTACACTGTGCCCTTTATGTCAACAAGCCCATTCTTTAAGGGGTAACCTGAAAGGAAACCTTAGACTGATGTTCAAAGTCATCTTCATCCACTTAATACTTCCATTGACACAGAAGCACAAACGGTCCTCCAGAGAAGACATCAACCTACTGGATGTTCCACAGTGTATTGCAGATATTTACTCCATAGGAAAACAGATGAGGTCTGCTGTACTTTACAATGCAAGGAAGCCAACAACTTGATCTTTAGGACTGATGATCAAATTTTGATTCACAGCTGCACTGTTCCTCCACAACCTATTTGCTCTGCTATGAAAATTATGCTAATCAGGAAAAACCATTAAGTACGTTGCAACACATTGAAAGATTCTGGAATTTTGTTTAGTCTTTATTCTAAAAGACTAAAGTATTTCAACGCCTGCCACTGTTGCCTTCATGCACATCCCTTCTAAGGAAGTAGAAGCCTCCTAGACAACATTATCATATGGTTTGCAAAAGGATCTATCAGAATTTGTCCCTAAATCAACGTGATAATGTGTGGTTTATATCTTTGCCAACTCATTCTGTTCTGGATCCAAATGCCCTTGCAATCCTACCAATTCCCTCAAAGAATTCCAACAAACGCTGTGCAGACAAATGAAAACCTCTACACAAATACTAAAAGAAAAAGACAATGCTTAAAGGCTTTAATAAAGGAATAAAAAAATAAAGAAGCTTTAAATGAGAAAAAGAATCGAAGTGCCATAGAAGAATAACCTTTGATTTCAGCTTGCAAGACCACCCTATTAGTTTTTGAAATATGGATTTTTTTTACTACAGCTTTCTGCAGTTTTCATGACCTGCAATTTATTGAGATATGAAGTAGCAGTATTTATATGTATGGCATCTAAGTTGCTTTTCTTTCTACAACTGAAGTGGTAAGTTCATGTACAGCCTGAAGTAAAACACAGATTCTGAAATTTTTCATACATCTGGGAGTTCATTAGTAAACAGCTGAGGGCTGATTGCTGATGGTTATTCCATCGCCAATATATTAACTCATTTCTACTGTAAGGAATCAGGAAAAAAAAAAGCTTTATTTTAGCTGTAGGCAATTACATGTAAACTAGAAAGATTGATTGGTTGTGTTTCATTTTGAAGGGTTATGGTAGCAGTCTGGAAGTGTTATTCTTAGGGATAAAGTGCCAGAACAGCTTTACTTTCATAACAAAAGATTTAGGTTGAATTTCTGAAGAAATGCCATATATGCATTAAAAGGAATAATTAAACTGCTAACAAAATATTTTAAGCAGTTATCTAGACGATCACAAATGCCACTCCAGATTCTACACCAATAAAAACACCCTAAATAAATTACAGTATTGATGAAGCAAATAAACAAATACTACCACAGTCTAAATGAATCCACTGAAATAATACAACATACATAGTAACCACATACAATTACCAGTAAACACATAGCTGAGGGGACAAACCTTACTTTACGCTTAACTGGCTTTTCCAATGAAAAAATTATGAACTACAAGAAGATCCTCAAATACACTGGTGGATAGGGTCCCCCCTACTTGCCAACTGCACCAAAGACTTGAGTGCAGGTCTATTATTTGTATCAAAATAGAGACAATACAAAAATATCTTCACATTTAAACAAGCATAGCTCCTTTTATTTAATCCTATTTTTAGCACTTCTACTACTGTTATAACAGATGCACATCACCTTTGACAAAATGTTGTTACCTTCACCTTGAAAAACAACTTTGTCTATTCTAGGAAGTTTAATGGACCCAACTTACTAACATTTCCCAAATACTGTCAGAAACTATCACAGCAGTCTAAAGCAAGCACGCTATTTAACTGCAAAATTGAGAGCTGTAAATTCAGATGATTTCCTGTGTTGCACTATATTTTAATACTTCCAATTTTAATACATACATCTATTTAGAAAACTATCTCCTGTGCACTTTTCATGCAGTACCAGGGATCCAATGTAAGAACTGAAAGCTTGAAGAAAGTTCTACTTTACCATACTAACATGTTATATTCTCAAGTTGCTTTCCATATTGAGTTTATGATGAAATACCTAACTATCCTAAACCTTGATGACTCAACATATTTTTTTGTTTGGGTTCTTTGTAGGTTTGTTGTTTTGTTTTTTTAACTAGCCTCACAATTCTCTCCCATCAAAACACATGAAAAACAGCAAAGGGTCTTTTCTCTACATAACTTTAAAATCTGACTCACATTCTGCTCAATGCCCTTTAGAAAGACAGTTCTCTACTGAGCATCCACAGAAACCCAAAGGAGAAAGGGTGTGCCTGTTCTACCAACCGATCACGCTGACACAGAGGCTGCCTCGGGTGTAACAGAGAACCTGGGCACACAAGCAGTTCAGAGGAGACTTGGCACTGCCTGCACACCACCTTCAACCTCAGCAGGGACATCACAAGAACCATGCCCTACTCTTATAGCTTGCCACGCACCTGCCAAACAACCCACAGTGCAAGCACAGCAGGTTCACTAACAGTAGTGCCACATTAGCATCCAATGCTGTTACACTTAAAGCACATGTATCTGAATAACCTGAACTGTACATACCCCAAACATACTCATAAATTATTAGGAGCTTATCAGAGCAGTGCTCTGTTACATACAGGATGTATCAGGATTATTACAGGATGTATCAATGGATGCACTTCACTAGTCTACTTCAGAATAAGCCAAAATTTCCATTCCTACCAAATTATGCATCAATTCCTATGATAATACGTAACTTTCATGCACCTATAAGCATATTTTTACATAATACAAATACAGAATTATCTATACACAAATAGATGGAACTTCATCAGCTCTTCATAGGAGTAAATACCTATGCACAAACTGCTAGAATCCCAAGCTAATACACAAGAGCATGATGAACATAGAAGTTCTGAAGTCTGTGGTTACTTCTGAAACTATTTCTACTGAAATAATTCTGGGACCTATTAGTGCATTGAAATGAGACAGAAGCCTTGAAATTAGAAAAAGGAGGAGAAAAATAGGAGTGCAGGTACCAACAGAACAGAAGCCCAATACAGTATGGGAAGCCTCAGTACATACAGGATCTTGCACTTGCGCTCATATTTCTGTAACACTCTTAGAGCAACATCTGAAAAAGCATATTGTAAAATGGCAAGCAACTATTTTAAAAGAAGCTGAAAGTACACTTAGATACAGAGGGCAGAGGCAATAAGAAAAGCTGCACACAAGCTGTAAGCAAGTGCTTCATCAACCCGAAGGAGCCTGGACAGAATTACAAGACTCCTCTCACTCTGACAGGGCAGGACCACTCTACAGGGCATGGCACAGACTGACACACATTTGACATGCTTTAGCCACTACTTCTCTTTTAAATATTGTTTCATGACTTTTACATATAAGCTTTCCTTCTCAAAAAGGGCAGCATGCACTATACTAAACTCCCTGCAATTAACAGCATTTGACAGACAGACTTTCCTGCCCAATATACAATATATCAGTCCAAAGCTTCTCTTTGTAATTCAACCCCAGACAGGGCCACCCAGCAGCTTCACCACCACTGCCACTCTGTGGACCCAATCCTCAGTTTCAATAACTAGAACTATGTAGAACAATATAAATAGCTCTCCTGTAATACAATGCCTTCACAGATACAATGCAAAACAACAAGCTGTTGGGAAAGTCATGTATACTTCTCACTTCACCAAATCAATGCGTTCCATATCCTTCCCTTTCCCCCCTTTTAACAGCACATGGTGATACTACAATTTGGATCCTTCCAGATTAAGGAAAATGGACAGAACATGTGAAATCTGTTTCTTCTTGGTCCTTTTATACCATTTCATACATTTTCCTTTACATAGTTCTCCACTCAGGTTTTTTTGAAACTTCCTGGACACACTCCAACAGAAAGCACAAGCAGCAACTACATTGGGATGGCTGCACTTGAAACTGTTAATACTTAAAACTGCGGTGAGATCTTCCACAGCTGGAAGATTAGCAGTGCATTCACACCACAAGGATATTTGGCAATTCTGTGCATACAGCATCAATAAATTGCCACACCAACAGTTTGAACCAAGCACTCGTGACCTCCTGACAAGACACAAGAAGCACTGCTCTGTCTCTAGGCTGCACTTGCAGAGTCCTTACCAGAAAGAGGTCAAAAAGAATAGTTCCATGAGTCTTCATTTCCCTCCGCAAAACATTTTAAATAGATTTAGTTCACATGGATCTCTGCCACAATGTAGAAACATTTATGAGGAATCTTTCAAGACTGTGCATGCTACTGTAATTCATACACAGAACAAAATAGGTATTTTCATTATTTGTTTTTAGACACAAATAACTGAGGTTTTGCATGACAGTTTAACTTTTTGAGCCGTTGTTCTCTCTTTACTGGTTCTGTAAATATATGCCACATGCCTTCCTTCAGGAGCTTGGCTGTAAGGAGCTAGCAGTTGCTAATTCTTTTCTTATTCTCCTGTTATGTTTCCAATACCTTCATCTCTTCGGCCCAGTGATGTAGCTGATATGATCTGCCCCATAGGATACGTTTGCTAAGCAAAGGAATCCAATCTTAGTCATCTTGGTGTCAGCTACTGCAGAGAACTAAGTCATAGAATCATAGAATAGTTTGAGTTGGAAGGGACCTTTTGAGGCCATCTAGTCCAACACTCCTGCCATAAGCAGGGACATCTTCACTAGATCAGGTTGCTCAGAGCCCTGTCTAACCTGACCTGGAATGTTTCCAGGGATGGGACATCTACCACCCCTCTGGGCAACCTGGGACAGGGTTTTACCAATGGACTTGTTTGACCAAGTTAATGCAACTTCCCCCATTGCCTTTACCTCCCTCAGTGTCTGAATTTTATAATTATATCTTATTGCCACATTGCCTTCATGCACAGAATAAGACCTTTTCAGTCTTCCTATTCCAAGTGAAGCTCTAGAGATGAGGAATGCTTTGGTCTAGGGTTTTTTTTGGTTGGTTGGGTTTTGGTTTTTGTTTGGTTGGGTTTTTTTCCCCACACTGTGTTTTGCCCTTTGTTTTTTCAAGATGGAACATGAGCCCTAGGGAGCAAAAGTATATGAAAATAGCAGCATAGAAACTAGCAGCTAAATGTTCACTTCTGTAAGGTGACAGTAGAAAGAGACTGGTGCATTAGAAGCAGACTGACAACTGGGAGATAAACGTCAACAAAGGCAGGCTAGGATTACACTCAAAGGAGACAACCTGGAAAGTGTAGTAGTGTTCATTGCCAAAACGATGCCCCCAGAGCTACACTGGAACAAGAGGAAGCCATAACCAAAGAAGAGCTGCCCAGAGTGCTGTTTGGTCAAGCAATCCCCATCCTACATCAGTGCTACTCTTCCATTTGTCTCCTACAGCTCAATACAGAAGGCCCTACAAAATCAGTTCTGCAATGCATCTTCTTGAGACTGCATGACCAGAAGGATGGCAGCTCATAGTACTTAAAAATGTTGGTTTTTTTAACATTTGTTCATGTGCCTTCCATACAGATCAACATGTCAAGATAGTTAGGAACCAAGCACTCTAATCAGTGAGCAAGCGTTAAGAGAACTAGGTTTAAGAAAAGACATTTACACTACAGCAGAAACACACGCTACTGGTCTTTCAATTTTACCAGCTAGGATAGTTTTATTTTCTTTTTCCAAATGGTGAAAGTAATCCTGGATATTAGTCAATTCTTGTTTTTCCTTGAATTGAAACATTCTCTTCAGACTATTTTACATTTTCAACATGTGTAACTTGATGCACAAAATATGTCAGGAATAAACACTGAGCTACCTCTGCAAAAGTGTCCTGGTTCGAGGACAGCATTGCACATCATATATTCTTTAGAAAGCCCGTAATCTCTGCGATTCCATTTCCAAAAATTTAACTAAGGGGATAGCAATTCGCTAGCTGCACATAAGCAATATGAAAATACTTTCATTAATGTTTCTAGGTGTACAAGATGTTGTTGGGATGTATCTCCCCAAAACTGCGTAAATCTGACAACTAGTCCAAAGCAAGGGCTGTCACATTGAACACAAACTCAAGAAATTCCTTACCACAGCGAGGTTCTTTTGGAGACCCTTTCATAAACAGCATGCAAGGGGCAGCACTGATGAGTTTCTTGAGACGCACATTAAGATCTTCTTTTGCACTGTCATTAGAGCCAGCAGAAATGGAACTGCTGGATGCATGGCGCTGCACTTTTTTGGTCAGCTCCGGGGCATGTGCACCATCTAGTCTGTCAACTTTCTGAGAATTCTAAGGAAACCAAAACACAGGCTTGTGTTAAAGGATTAAATTCAGAATTTGTACTGTAATAAAAAAAATAGTAAAATCACCATATAAAGTATAGATTTTCAGATGCAGGGTGGATTAGTGTATTGATCTTTTAGCCAGTCTTTAGTTCCAAGATTCATACCATTCTGTTGGCTGGCTACTGTTAATGCCAGCAAATTTGCTACTAGAAGGATTTATTAAAGAAAATATTTTTTATTTTATTATCAAGGCAAACGTGACCCAAACAGACGTGTCATTTCTACCAAAAGGTTATTTACTTCTGTTTTTGCCACGCTGTGGAACTATAGCTAGACAATGAAACATTACCGAAAATTTTTTGACCCAATACAAGGTATGACAGCTAAAATAAAAACTATGTAAGAATCTCAAAGCAATTAAAGAAGCTCTGAAATACGACATATAAAGTACAAGAATCATTTCTATCTACTTTTTTAGGTTCCATTACACAGACTTAAATCAGATATATAAGTGTTTCCTCACTGAGAAAATTCTTAAGGTTCTGCTCTTCTGGTACTAGTATTAAAAAGGAATACATATTAAGAGTCCAAATGGAATCCATTTTCTCTTAAATCCACTTTCTCTTACCTTAAAGAATAAGAACGTTGGAACAGAACTAATTCCATATTTTTCAGATACTTCAGGCACAGCTTCAGCTTCCAGCTAAAAAACCAAACAACAAAAAAACAGAGAAAAAGATTATTTTCATAATCTTCTTTAAAGTTGGACTGTGGATGTCAATGCTGCCTAGAATGTTCTTCTAGGCATTTTATACATTTAAAAAGGATTTGATGCAGAAGTTTGTGACACATTTGCATTTAAATGAGACTCACTGGGTTGGTGTGTCATCCACTGAGCCTACACAGTGTCAAAACAGGTTCAGAGGTTTTTATTTTGTTGCACATTTCAAAAGATGCCCGGAGGCTGCGAATAAAAATTTTGGTGCACTAGTGACCTAGTAAATTTTCAATCATATGCAGCTACTACTATATTGAAATCCATAAATCATTGACCCCAGTTATGTCATGATTACAGTGCTTATTTTCTGCCCACAGCAATTCTTGCTGTTTGCTCTATTGACTAATTTCAAGGGGCAGTACATCATGACTGACATTTGCAGCCTTCTGCAAATTATGAAGAAAAAAAGGAGTGTTTCTTCAATAAGGTATTGATGTTTACTAAATTTTATTTTTAACTCCTGCAAGACTACCCAGTATTGAGTGGCAAGTTTGTTGAGAATATTGGCTCTAATTTTATTCAGCATTCAAATGCATACCTTGAAATTATATAATGTAGTAGTTTGCCAAGAAAATATATCTTATTAACTCAAATTTGTGATTTTCTGTCCATAGGCTAAAAGCTTACTTGAGCAGCAGAAGATCTAATACAAAGTTAAGACACTAGCTCTGTAACAACTGCAGAGTCAGAGTTAATGGTTAAAAAAGTGGTAACAGATCACAGAATGTTTGGGTTGAAA